GGGAAATTCGCCGAGCTGGCTACAGAACGAACGTCACATTTTCTGGGGTGGGCCCGACGATTTGACAATGTTTGGGACGCAAATGGAACACGTCGTGACAAGAGCAGGATCCCCTGTATGCAGGACTGTACCGGGCATCGAATATTTGGATTTTAGCTCTGAGGTCATCTCTGATTTTTCTGCAGTTTGATGTCTGAGCATGTTTTGCAACATCCAACGTTGCCCAATGTTTGATCGTATGGGAGCGTCATCTTCGCAGCTGGATGGCCCTTTTATTTGGGGCAGCGGCTCATTACTGGAATATTTGTAGACACTGCAACGAAGACCCTCATGAAGGATTCGGTGTTGCTGGCTCAGGAGCACTCCCACCAGGAAGCGCAGCATTTCGATAAGCTCGCGCAGCTCTGCCATCAGGCCGACGAAGATTGCAACGGGAGGCTGGGTCCGAGGGAGTTCAAGAATGCCCTTCGGAAAAACGACGTTCCAACGTTGCTCAAAATGTTGGGGTTCCAGCGGCACCATGTCTGTGAGTTCTTCAATCACATGGCCCACGAATCCGACGACAATGAGGTCGACATAAACGACTTTATCAAAGGTTGCACGCTGATGAAAGGATATGCTACCACCTTCGATCTCCACAAGCTGTATGCGAGGGTGACGAATGTACAGAAGGACCTTGATGAACGCTTGGGCGAGATTCTCAGGCTGTTACACAATGTGTAGGGCCACGGTGTGGTCTGCACGCGATGCTTTTACATTATCTGTTTGCTGGAGTCTCAGGTGTGGCGGAAGAGCGAACGGTGTAGATGAGCTCTGTCACGGGTGTTTATCCCCAGGAGTAAGCCGTCGGCGGCGTGTCATCGACAGTGTTCGCGTTTTCCCAGTCGCGGACATTGGCGACGCGGAGTGTTGCTAGTCTTATGTTTCCGCCGCGTGTCGTTGCATGATAGGCCCTATCTGGTGAGGATGCTAAGCCCTTCTCACAATTCCTAGTCCTGCAAGACCTGCAATGTACGCAGACCTGAAACTGTGGAGGCCTGGGTGAGTGATAGTCTAGTACCACCGCGGCACAGACATCGGCGCATGCGCTTCCCACGCCTTTGTGACTTTAGAGTCGCGACGTTGTGAGAGTCTCATGCCGCGAAAGTATGAGAGTCCCATGCCCTTCTTGAACCAGGACTTCTGGACAGGTGGGAGTCTCTCGGTACCCCGGCAATGTGGGTGATCTGGGATTTGGGGGTGTCGACATGCAGGGGAATTGATTCATACGACGTTTGTTGAGTCTGCGGGGCCTGAGGTAGTGAGAACCCCATGCTACAGCAACACTTATGGGCTTCAGGAGATGTGATACGTAGATGAATACGTGTCTTGTCGAATGCCCTGGAAATGCACGGCGTGGAATGGTCAGAATTCGACGCCATTGAATAATGTGACGTCGAATGGTCGCTTGTGGTATCATAGTTTGACGTTCGGGTGGGCGGAGGGAGGGAGCGGGGGAGGGCACCTCCCCCTCCCCCTTACCCGCCCAGTTCCCCAGGCAGGGGTTGGGGAATGTGTAAACATCAAACCGAAAAGAGGAAAACGGGGTTGGAAGAGGAAGCGCCTCATGTGGTCTGTGTAGATGTGCGCATACATATTTCCACATATCTACGTGAGCACGCGTGCATCTCTCTCTATTCATATAGGGTGTTTGTAGGTGACACACATAAGTGTTGATGTACATGTTGGTCCGTTGCCGTATGTAGAGATACAGATGCACATATATATATATATATATGTATACACACATATATATATATATATATATATATGCCGCGCTGCGTTCTGGAACAGGGACGCGTTGACTGGTCAGAACTCACAGTTCGGGCCACACCGTTAAGAGTTGAAGTATTCAGAGTGGTGAGAAGCTGCACGTGCTGAGCTTTCGCGACCTGAGCGACCTAGAATCCCACCAGCCCTCTGGGCGTAGGTGATTCAAGATGCTTCGTCCTCTGGGCGTAGGTGATTCAAGATGCTTCGTCTTTCACCCCCCGAGAGCGACGCAATTTCAAAAGGATTCGAACGAGGAGGACAAGGGTGAGGAAGACGGTGACCACAAGCGAGAGGCGGCGACATATCCATACCCACCGCCCGTGGAACTGCCAGCCCAGAACCCCCATGGGCGTCGGATGTGGGCACAGTTTGGCCCCCCGGTGGTCCGCATCTGTCCACGTGCGCCGCCTGCCAGAGTGCCCGCAGATCGACCCCCCAGGCGGCGGGTATGAATAAGTCCCCGCCTCGGGACAAGGAGAACGATCGGCGGCGCGCCGAGCGGGGTGGGGTGTGTGGGGGGGGGGGGCAGGTCTCCTCGGAGGGCGGCGGGGCCTGATTTGAAGCCTTCTGGCCTTCCGAGGGACCCTCCTGTGGCTTCGGAGGAGGCTCGGAGCACTTCTCAGAAGGCCCTTGGCATATTTCGGAAGTGTGTGTGTGTGTGTTTGTGTTTGTGTTTGTGTTTGTGTTTGTGTTTGTGTTTGTGTTTGTGTTTGTGTGTTTGTGTTTGTGTTTTTGTGTGTATGTGTATGTGTATGTGTATGTGTATGTGTATGTGTATGTGTATGTGTATGTGTATGTGTATGTGTATGTGTATGTGTGTGTGTGTGTGTGTGCAGTCCTTCTGCCAATCCGCCGACGCAAAAAGTGTGTATGAGTGTGTGTGTGTGTGTGTGTGAGTGTGTGTGGCTTTTTTTCTCGGCGAGGACCATCGACGAGCTCGGGTCCACGTGCGAACAGATTGCGCGCGCGAAGCCGGCAAATGCACGGGGAATGGACGTCCGAGCGATGGCGAGGGCCAGGGGCCTTCTGAGCACTCTGAGGAGGCCCGCTCCAGCTTCCGCACCCCTCCTGGCCAGGCGCGTCCTGGGCGCCCAGGCTCGGCGCACCTGCCTTTCCTCTGTGGGCGCGCCGTCGAACTTGAGGAGGAGGGCGCCAACGCCTGTACCCATCCTGGCAAGGCACGTCCTGGGCCTGTCCTCCTCCTCCTCCTCCTCCTCGTCCTCCTCCCCGTCCTCCTCCTCGTCCTCCTCCTCCTCCTCGTCCTCCTCCTCCTCTTCCTGCGCCTCCCTGGCTTTGGGCAGGCGGGCCTCTGTGCGTGGGCCCATGGGCTCAGTGGCGGGCACGGCTGGGACCGATGCGGGCGCGCAGCAGGCGCCCTCCGAGAGGGGCTCGCGGACCACGAGAGGCCAGAATACTCGCAGCAGCGTGCTGGAGCTTGCGGCGTTCGCCAGGGGGGAAGCGGGTCCTGATGATGGGCGTCTTTTCCACCACCACCACCACCACCACCACCACCACCACCACCACCACCACCACCACCACCATAAGTTGGAGGAGGAGGAGGAGGAGGACGAAGAAGAGGAGGAGGAGGAGGAGGACCCCCTCCCCCTCCAACTTCTGGTGGTGGTGGTGGTGGAAGACATGCCCATCACCCGAGGGGAGCGGGTCCCGAGGTGTTTCGCCGCTTTCAGGCCCTCGGAGCCCTCCAGTGGGGAGCGGGGAGTGGGAGGATTGATGAGGACGGAAGCGGAAGAGAGGGGGAGGATGAGAGGGGAGGCGGACGGCGACGAAGGAGGCGAGGCGGGGCCGTGCCCTGCCAGGGCGTCGGCGGGGGCGCCCCGGGCGCAGCGGGCCTGGGCGCGGTGCAGAAGGCGATGCGGCCGACCAGGCCGCGGAGGCGAGCGGTGGGTCAGGGGCAACGGCAGGCGGGGGTGCAGCCTCGCAGGGGTTTCGGAGGCAGCGCTGGGGTGGTACGGCCTCGGACGACGTGTGTGCGCACCGTGCGTGTTGGCGTCTCCTGAGGCGTCGTCGATCGCTCGGGATAGCGAACCCTTTCGGTCCTGGGCGGGGTGGGCTATCGGGCCCCTATCGGCGATCCATGGGCGATAAGGGGTCTGTGCATCCCTCCCTTTGGGGGATGGCCTCAGGAGGGGGGTTCACGATCGTTTTCGGTTGTGTGTTCGGACATTTTCGAGGTCCGGGTTTGTTTCCATCAGCTGCGATTCGTCGAGGGTGTTTCGGGGGTGCCAGAATCTCCGAACGGCCGCTGGAGGCTTGAGTCAGGGCTCGTAAAACCATGTAGCGGAGCGTCAGGGGCCCATCAGGGGCAGCGTTGGGGGAGGATCGCCTCAGCAGGATCAATGGCAACGACAGGGGGATCACGGTTTTCCAGCTTCGGGATGCTCTCCAGTGGCTGCGCCTCGCCGAGAGCGATTCATGGGGCCCTAATCGTCCCGAACGGCCTCCAGAGGCCCGAGTTATAGAATCCGATAACCACCGGGGACTGGGACTGGCTCAGTGGTTTCGACCAACAGTCGCCCATTCATCGCCGACAGTGGCCTGAAAGTCCACCCCGCCCAGGAACGTGCGGATCTATGGGCCCGAGTCGGCGATGAATCGCCGATGCCAGGTCGATGTTTCCTTGAGGCGGTCCCTCCCTATCGCTGTCCCTCGAGGGGGGGTCTGGGGCGAGCACACGCTTCTGTTGACATCCTGCTGGCCACTGCAGCAGGCACGGCAAATCCAGCAGGTGCCCAAGGGGAGGTCTTTCATCCCCCGATGGCCATGGGGACCCCAATGAGCTCCAATTCCGACGACTCTCTTGTCTCCAGATTTCTTTGATAAAGAGTTCTTATCGTAAGTATGCGCCTACCTGGACAAGAGTTTCAAGGTGGCGGTGCTCATGACCAGGTCGGCCTCATGTGGGCTACGTTCAGGCTTGGGAGCCTATTGGATAGAGTTGTGACCAATACGAGGCATCAACAGCGCGGTGGGGGGGGCACACGCCTCCCTCTTCCTCGCTTGGCGTTGCCATGCCCAGCGGCTCCTCCTCCTCCTCCTCCTCCTCCTCCTCCTCCTCCTCCTCGGGAGCTGCACGGCGAGGGGGGAGCACCGAGCGGAGCACCGCAGGGAGGCATCGGAGGCGTGGTTGGGCGATTGAGGGGCACGGAGTGGCGGCCTGCGGCGAACGGAGGGGCCCGTCCGCCTGCCCTCTCCCGACAGCCTGGCGCCGACGGCGGCTACCGCGAGGCGCTGGTCCAGGCGATCCCGGGCCCGCCATCCTGCTCTGCTGTTCTCTCGGGGGCCCTCAGGGGGTGCAGTGACCACGCCGTGTGGTGGGTCGGTGGGGAGGAGGAGGAGGAGGAGGAGGAGGAGGAGGAGGAGGAGGAGGGCCGCTAGGGTGTCGCTAAGTGCCGCGAAGTGCCTCCAAGGTGCCGCTAGGTGCCGCTCACGAGGAGTTTACCCGTGCCGCTAAGGAAAGGCCACATAAGTGTGGTGGGTCGGTGGGGATTCGGGTTGGCCGCACGGTTTTGGGTCTCGGGTCGATCTCCGGGGGTGTCTCGGGCGGCCGGAGCCTCGAGGGGCTCGAAGCGCTGGGGTGGCGGTCCGTGCGGTGAGGTTTCCCGGGGATGTCGGGGTCCCTGCACGGTCTGTCGCCGCACCGTGTTGGGACCCCCGTTTTTCGACTGCGCGTGCGTACCCAAACACGTGACACAAATCGAGACGGAGGTTTTTCATCGTTTTCGGCCTCTCGGGGCCCTCGCTGGGCCTCGGGACCGTCCAAAAACGACTCTGGATGAAAACCTTGTCCTACAGGGAAGTGGTCGCGAGGTCGGGGGGCCCGTGTCTCTAAAAAAATCGAGACGTCGGATGTTTGGTTGTCGCCGGATGGAACTGTGGTTCGTGCCCACTGGGCCCGCCAGTCGCTGAGCGCGATGCGGTAGCATTGACATGTGCGCTCGAGTTTGACCAGCCCTTCCCGCCACCCTGGTGCTGTCCTCCGATGCTGGATTACACCATAAAAGATGGGTTGCGTGTTCTCGGTTTGGGGTCTGACTGGAGCTGTCTTGGAGGGTTCCCGGGAGTCTGGGCAAAAGGCCGTCCTTTCATAGCTGGTCTGGAGGGGGGGGCCTAAGATTTCTCGTCTGAGAGAGTTGTGACCCCTTCTCTTTCACTTCGAATCGCGGATTAGTGTCGCTCTTGCGTGCAGCCGACGCTTGTGCTCGCACTTCTCGGCATGAGGACACGGGGGTCCTGAGGGAAAGGGCTCCCGAGGCGTTCCGCCGTGTTCGGCGTCTCGGTGGGAGCCGCTCCGGTCCAGGACTCATTTCTGGGGCTCCCAAACCGCGTGGTGACGACACCGCGTGGTGAGTCGATGGAGATTCGGTGTCACCACGCGGTGTTGGGACTTGAATCGTTCCCCGAGGATGTCTCGAGCGATTGGGGCCTCCAGGGTCCCACAACCGCGTGGTGACGGACCGCGTGGTGAGGTCTCTTGGGGAGTCCGAGGTTACCACGCGGTCCGCCACCACACGGTTTTGAGTGCAGGACTCATTCTTTCAGGACCTTTGTGTTCCTGGCATCCCCGAGCAGACGCTGTCTCGTTGCTCCTCCCCATCACCCCGCCCGCCTGCTGCGGCGGGGTGGAGCTGGCACATCACTGGGGGGTGCATGCGGAGATTGCTGGCGATAGTGGAGAGGAGGAGAAGGAGGAGGATGAGGAGGAGGAGGAGGAGAAGAAGGAGGAGCAGGAGGAGGAGGAGGAGGAGGAGAAGGAGGAGGCGGAGGAAGAGGAGGAGGAGGATGAGGGGGGAGTATGGAGGAGGCTGCCTTCCAGCGTCTGCCTCGCGACCCCCCAGCAGGCCACGCTAGCCGATCGTGATTGGTAGATTGGCGGATCCTCGCTGCGCCTCAGGGTACGTGCCAGCACGCCTTGCTGACACGGGGTTACGCCCCCCTCCCGCCCCCCTCCGCATCCCCCCTGCAGACACATCAACAGGTGGTCAACTGTTCGAGCCAGTGGGCGCCCGCTGGACCGATGAGAGCCCCACGTGCCTGCCGCACGCTCAGGATCTGATATGGCTTTGCCACAGGTCTGAGGCCTGCGAGGGTCAGGGGGTGCATCGACCCCAAGTCGCCCGCTCATTGCCGACAGGGGCCCGATAGCCCACCCCCCGCTCAGGAGGATGCGGATGTGCTCTCTGGGGCCTGTCGCCGATCTTTCGGCGATGTGTCGCACCCGAAAAAGTGGCCGTCAGAAGGATGGGTCGGGGTGGATCCACGGGCCCTGCCATTGGTAGTGGTCCTGGGCGGACTGGAATGATGAGACCGTGAGACGGTGAAGGTTCGACCGCTTGCGTTCCTGATAGCGTCGAGGCGAGACCACGATTGGGAACGCCACGCTGTGTAATTTCCGCCAGACTCTTTGAGCTTTGTAGCTGCAGAGGCTCGAGGAACAGAAGGGGGGAGGAGGAGGAGGAGGATGAGGAGGAGGAGGAGGAGGAGGAGGAGGGGTAGGCAGGAGGAGGAGAGGGAGGTGGAGGAGGTGGAGGAGGAGGAGAAGGTGGAGGAGGAGGAGGAGGGAGGAGGAGGAGAAGGAGGAGGAGAAGGAGGAGGAGGAGGAGGAAGAGGAGGCGGAAGAGAAGGAGGAGGAGGAGGAGGAGGAGGAGAAGGAGGAGGAGGAAGGAGGAGGAGGTGCAGTGACAAGGGAAATGGTAATGCTGATGAGGAGGGGCAAACATGAGGGAGAAGGGAAAGAGGAGGTGGAGGAGGAGAGGGAGGAGACGTGGAGGAGGAGGAGGAGCAACAGAAGGAGGTATGACGGAGAGGTTCGGGTGGGGGTGTTGTCTTTCTGGGCGGCACCCTCCCGTGAGGCATAGCTGACGGGGATGGCGAGGAGGCATGCGAGGGGTCGGCGGCGATGCCGCGGAGGTCGGCAAGGCGCTCGGCGTGGACAGCAAGACGACGGAGTCGGGCGCGCAGGCGGCGGCGTCCGCCGCCTCCTTCAAATCTGCGCGCGTTGCTTTTGTGTTGTTTATCTCTCTGAGGGGGGGGGCAGGGGGTAGAAGGGACGCGGGTTGGGGAGGGGCCTGGAGGGGTGGTGCGTGCGTGTGCGTGCGAGTGTGCGTGTGTACATGTGTGCGTGTGTGGGAGGGAGAGAGAGAGAGAGAGAGAGAGAAAAGAGAGAGAGAGAGAGAAGAGAGAGTGTGTGTGTGCGTGTGAGCGTGTGCGTGCGCGCGCGCGCGTGTGTGTGTGTGTGTGTGTGTGTGTGTGTGTGTGTGTGTGTGTGTGTGTGTGTGTGTGTGTGTGTGTGTGTGTGTGTGTGTGTGTGCGTGTGCGCGCGCGTGTGTGTGGTGTGTGTGTGTGTGTGTGTGTGTGGCGTGTGCGTGTGTGCGTGTGTGTGGTGTGTGTGTGTGTGTGTGTGTCTGTGTGTGTGTGCGTGTGTGCGTGTGTGTGTGTGTGGTGTGTGGTGTGTGTGTGTGTGTGTGTGTGTGTGTGTGTGTGTGTGTGTGTGTGTGTGTGCGTGTGCGTATGCTGTGTATGTTGTGCGCGTGTGTGCATGCGTGGGCGTGTGCGTGTGTGCATGTGTGCGCGTGTGCGTGTGTGCGTATGCTGTGTATGTTGTGTGTGTGTGTTGTGTGGTGTGTGGGTTGTGTGTGTGTGTGAGGGTGTGTGGGTGTATGGGTGTGTCGGTGGGTGTGTCGGTGTGTGGGCGTGTGGGCGTGTTGGTGTGTGGGTGTGCGGGTGTGGGGGCGTGCGGGTGTGCATGTGCGTGTGTGCGCGTGTGCGTGTGTGCGTGTGCGTGCGTGCGTGCGTGCGTGCGTGCGTGCGTGCGTGCGCGGGCGCGCGTGTGTGTGTGTGTGTGTGCTTGTGCGTGTGCGTGTGCGTGTGCGTGTGCGTGTGCGTGTGCGTGTGCGTGGTCGCATTTGGACCGGGCCGCGCTCTCCCGCCTGACGTGACCTACGCGGCGCCGCCGCGCGCGTGGCCTCGACGCCAAGCAAGCGCGCGTGTGTGTATGTGTGTGTGTGTGTTCGTGTGTAAGGGCGGGGGGACCGCCGATGGCTTGCTCAACGGCAGGATGTCGAGGAGGAGGGGGAGGAGGAGGGACGAGGTGGAGAGGAACGGAGGAGGATGTAGAGGAGGACGGGAGCTGGAGGATGAGGATCTGGTTCAGGGGTAGTTGGGTGCAGACATTCCCGCCAACAGGTCTCGCACTGCCCTCCCTCCGACCCCCTTCCCGCCCCCCTCCCTCTCGCCGCCTCCTTCTTTTTGTCCGTCCCGTCCCTCCCCTCTCCTCCTCTCCCCTCCCCTCTCTACCACAGCCCAACCTGACTCATCTGACTACAGCTCTCCTCTCCCGCCTGGTACTGTCCAGAGCGGGTGCCGCTTCTCTCGCGGGTGCGGCTCTGCTCCCGCCTCCAGGGAGTGTGTCCGAGGACCCGCGCGCCCCCACTGCAGGGCCGAAGCCCCCGAGGCTCGGGGCCCCCGCGGCACTCGTCGCCATCATCGGCGACTTGTCGTTGCAGTAATCGTGGTCGTCGTCGTCGTCGTCGTCGTCGCCGTCCTCCTCCTCCTGTTCCCCCTGCTCCTTCTAGCCTGAAAGTCGCCCCGTCCCACGGCACACCCACACAGAGCCAGAGCCGGCGGCTGCTCGACGGCCGCCCTGCTCTTCCTGGCGTGGCTGCCGCGCTTGCAGCCAGGGGCAGGCAGGCATCGGCCCGCGAGCGGTCGCATCGCGTCCTCCTTCCAGTCGTGGTCCCTGACTTTTCTCCCTCTCCTGCTCGGCCGGCATGGGCCCCTGGGCGGTCGGGGTCTCGGAGCCTCGGCCGCGGGGCGGCGGGGGCGCTCGCGGTGCCCGGTGTCGCCGCGCTCCGTGCCGGCGCTCGTATGTGCTCGTGCGCCGCGTGCACGGAGAGCGGTGCAGGGGGCTCGAAGGCCGAGCCGGGGGTGTTTTCAGAACCAGCGCTTGGGGGATCGATCCTCTAGGATTTCGCCAGGCGGCGGATACAGATATTCGCGCAGCAAGGAAGGTGCCAAACGGATGGGACACGTTCCCTTTTGCTGCCGGCAGTGCTTTCACATGTGCACGCATGTGAGTTGCTATAACACATGTTTGGACACCTTTGAGGTATCCTTGCAGAATAAGAATGAGATCTGCCCCCCCCCGAGCTCTGGATTGTATCCAGATCCGCCGCCTGCCCAGGACCCCGAAGATCGATACCCCCGGCGGTGGTGATGGAGGAATCCCCGCCTCGCACAAAGGCCTATCTCGGGGGCGCGGGGCAAGTCTCGGTTCCAGTGCGGTTTCAGTATGACACCGATTGGCTCCAGTATTTCTTGCGTCGGCGCTGTCCCCGCCCCCTCCCCCCCCGTCGCAGTCGTCATCGTCGTCGTCCTCCTCCTCACTCTCCTCCTCCTCCTCCTCTTCCTCCTACTCCTCCTCCTGCCTCGCCTCCCCTCCTCCTCCTCCCCCTCCTCCTCCTCCTCCTCCTCCTCCTCCTCCTCCTCTCCTTCCCTCCTCCTCCCTCCTCCTCCTCCTCCTCCTCCTCCTCCTCCTCCTCCTCCTCCTCCTCCTCTCGTCCTCGTCTCGTCCTCCCCCGTAGCCATTTTGGCTCAAGCCATGTTGGCTCAAGTCCTACACTTCTCCAGCCAGCTGGGCAGGGAGAGCATCCCGCCCCCTTTCACTGACACCTACCCGCACACTTCATATCGATGGTCTGTAGGAAGCAGCCATGGGTCTCTAAAGAACATATACACTCTAGGCGATGCTTAAGAAAACCCAAGTTTTCGGCCAGAGTCTCGATTATTCTTAATGTTTCCGTGCAGATCCTAAGATTTGAGTAGACATTCTGGGTTTTTACTCAAATTCTGAGACTATGAATTTCTGAACCCATGATTTCAAAAGCATTTCGCAGGGTGTATAAGCCCGCAGCAGAGAGCAGCGGTCGACCTGCCAACGCACGTCATACCTGGCGTGCCCGGTAAGGAATGGGTGTTTGTTGTGGGCGAATAGAGTGGACAGTCAGCCCACATGCAAGTGTAGAGCCCCTTGGAGTCCCCAACACATTGCCACTTCCTAGTACGGATAATCAGTCGCGATGCCCAACACCTCCGGCCCTTGGCGCCGCGCCGGTACTAGACAGTCCCAAAGAAGAAATTGACCAATAGTATACCGCAACAAGGATGCATATTAAAACAATGTTTTGAGAATCTACATGCGCAGTTCAACAAAGGAAAGTTTGGCAGGCTCAACTCTCTTGTTTCGAAGTTCTGGGCGGGGGAGAAAAGCAACTGTACTTGGAAGCATGCCTGCAGTTCAGCATCGAACCCGCGTTGCCACTGAAGCTGAGTGCAGCAGGTAACAAGTTCGATTCGTCTTATAATCACCCGAAGAAGGACGATGACGATTCAGACGATGTTAGCGACTCGCCAACAAGTGTTTTGCTTAGGCGCCCAGACAACAAGATGGCAGAGTCAAGCCCTCCCAAAACTCACGCCGAGCTTAACGCGGTCCTCAAGGATATTCGCATCACCTGTCTCTCAAGCCAGCTCAGAAAGGCTTAGACGGAGATCCGCCATTTACAGACAGCAGAACAGGAAACATATCAACATCAAGAAGGCGTCCAAGGAGACGGAAGAGTACAGTTACGATTCGGACATGTTTGAGACGTAATTTGGGACCGCAATAAACACATTGGTGTCTACATGGCTTTATGATGTATTACGGCTGCGTGCACAACTCAGCCTAGAAAGGCCTGACATCCCGTCTTATGATTTTCGCTTGCGGGCGCTAGCACGCGCAATTGCAGAGAGAAGTAAGTAGATGGACAACAATGTGCTAATTCAACCTCGGCGACCGTCTCCACTCATCCCAACAATTCTTGGTAGGCGCTAGACTGTGCCGAGGCAGTTGTTGGTTTCTAATGGAGTTTGGTGCGGAAGTTTTTTTTCTGCGGTAGAAGCCGTCTCTTGATGTAGACTCACCGTATGTAATACGAACTTGTTTGGCCAGAGGCGCCATTATCACCTGGGCCAGCACGGGAACGGAAAGAGCGCTGCAGCAGCCCGCCTTTTCGACTGGCCTCGGGGTGCGACAGGGAGGAGTTATTTATAAGGACAAGGGATGGAGGAGGAACAGGAGGAGGATGTCGGGGGACGGGGGGAGGATCGAGGAATTCAGAGCACGGAGGAGGGTGATGAGGTGGGAGGACGGAGGGATGGTGGAGGAAGGAGGAGGACGCGGAGGGAGGCGGGCTGATGAGAAGGAGGGAGCACGAGCCGGCGACGGGAGCGCGGCCCTTGCAGCCCGAAGGGGGCCTCGTGGGGCAGCCGCGGCGAGGGCCGCGGCTGCCCCGCGCTGCAGCTCGGGCCTCTCCCGGGGGCCGGGGAGGAGAGCGCCGGCGCGCCCCGGCGCAGCTCCCGCCCTCCGCCCCCTCTCGCCGCCGCCGCGCTCGCCGCCGTTGCCCGCCGCTTCTGCCCTCGGCCGCGTGGGGGCCCGCGCCGCACCCGCCGCCGCCGCCGCTGCGCTCGCCGCCGGGCTCGCCGCCGCCGCCGCGGCCCGCAGCCATGTTGGCACGGGCATGCCGCGGGCGCCCGGTGGCCTCCGCGGCCGCCTCGCTGCTCCTGGCCGCGGCGCTGCTCGGGCACCTCGCGGGCCTGCGCGCCGCCCTGCGGGCCGAGGCGGACGCGCCGCGGCCATGGAGCCCGCCGGGCGGCGCGGGGCCCCAGGCCGCAGGGGCCTCGCGGGCGGCCCCCCCGGCACGGAGCGGTTCGGAGGCGCGTGGCGCTCTGGGCGTGCCGGCGGCGGCGGCGGTCAGCGGCGAAAGCCCTGAAGCCCCGAGAGTTTGGCATCGCTCGGACGTGTGCATATTTCCTTCGGCGAGGACCATCGAGGAGCATCCTTGATCATTTGGCGAAAAAACCACGCACGAGACCGAAAAAAACACAGGGAATGGACGTCCGAGCGATGGCCAGAGAGACACCAGCCTGGAAAGTACCGGCATCCATGAGCTGACCCAACGAGAGTGTTCGGAGCAGGCAGCGCGACCAGTGCAAGTGAGATGTTTGCTGATGCGGGCGGGGGGGGGGGCACACGCAGGCATCAGTGAGTTCACCCGTGTCGGTGTTGCTATCGTGCGTGTATGTGCGTGCGGCCAGTTTCTTGCCCGAGATCCAGTTCCATGGGGCAGTCTTTGGCCCCTTGGGCGGCCCCAAACAAACCACCCTCGCCGATCAACGGTTCGGGCAATCCGGGTGGGCTTCGGGATGTCCGTCGGACACGTGGCCGAGGTGCGAGCCCTTCCCCCGCCTCCCATCGATTCCGGAGAACGGATGGCTGGTGGGGGCAGGGTTCGGACGTCGCCACCTAGCAAGGGGGCGCTGGGCGTGCTGGCGGCGGCGGCGGGGAAGCCTCCAGCGGGCGAGGAGCAGCTCACGCTCGCGCCGTCCGGCGCCGCGCCGAAGGCCGCCGTCGTGGGCCCCCAGAACAGGTCCATCGACCACAGCCCTGCCGTCGTGATCGCCTCGGTCACGAGCGGCGAGAGCCTGTGCCGCTTCCGCCGGCGCTTTTCGCTGGACGTGGCAGCCGACGAGCGCGCCGTGTATTTCATCGGCGACTCGGCCTTCAGGAACCAGTTCGACGCGCTGTGCCTCGTCCTCGGCGCTGGCATCAGCGGCCACGACGTCTCGTGGCGCGGCGTCCCGTGGGATCTGTGGACCTGCGCTGGCACCTTGGGCAAGGTGCCCCTGTTTCTCGCCTACTCCCCGACGCCAACGTTCTCGGAGGACGTCGGATTGATGATGCACGGCGCGCTCGCGGCCAGCCACCCGCCGTCCGTGATCTATTTCGGGTCGGGCCTGTGGCTGCAGTGGCCCACCGACGGAGCTCGAGGACGTGAAAGCCACCACCCTCGAGGGTCCGCGGACGGCAGGTTTCAGTTGGCGCCAGAACTCTGCCCGCACCCTTGATCTGCGATCAGTTGCGAATCCTTTCCCCCTGCGGGTTCAATCGACGCTGGGGTATCGGACACCCCCGCTGGGCGTCACTCGACTGCAGACATCTGTAGAATTCTGAGCCCCAGCAAGCGTTTCGGCAATGCGACCTGCAGGGGTAACTAGGGTTCGCATGCGGTTGCCCACCTCCCCGATGCTCGCAGGGCGCCGGGGACGGCGCCGAGGGCGCCACCAGGGCTGTTTGGGATCCAGGCGTCTGGCGCCAGCTGCGATCTGCCGCCAGCCCACGTCCGGAGTTCCTGCGCTCATTTTATGTGGCTGTCCTTGTGGCCCCGCACAGGAGCGAACCCTGAGAAGTGGGCGTTCTTCGACGCGTGGAAGAACTACGAGGTCCACCTGGCGGGCGTGCTCCGCGCGTACGGGCGCCTGTCCCGGCGGCTGGTCGTCGCCACGGCGCACTCGCAGTGCGAGGAGTCCTTCCACGGGGAGTGGGCCCTCTTCGCGAAGGCCGCGAGGACGGACCCGGAGGCGGCGGCGCAGCCGTGCGCCAGGCCGGGAGGGGCGAACTGGGCACGGCGGGTTCGCGCCGCCTCGACGGAGCGGGGACGCCCGCACGATCGTCCGAGGCCGAACACCTTCCGGGGGGAAATCCGTGGCGGCCCAGATCTCGCAGGAGACAGCCCAGGGGTTCGAAGTCCAACCGAGGGTGGGAACGAGAAGGGGTCGCTCCATGTTTTGGGGGCCACATGCGAACCCTACCCCTACCCCCCACGATTTTTAAGGGGGAAGGTGGGGTTCACTTCGCTCGTGACCTCCCGAACGAAGTGAACCCCACCCTCCCCCTCAGAAATCGTGGGGGGTAGGGGTAGGGTTCGCATGTGGCCCCCTAATGTTGGATTGGTGCGCGCGGCGTCGGACACTCCGAGGCGGCGTGGTCGTGGCAGGGGCCTGTCGTATGCCTGGGCCCACCGCCCAGGATGGCTGGTTTCTGCCTTGCCGCCCTGCCCCTGTAGGGCAGCAGGAGGCTGCTGGTTGCGAGGGGGTGGTAAAACGACGCGAAGATCGGGACAAAGTCGGATCGGGATAACTCGAAATCTCTGAGAATCGGCGGGTTTGGAGGATGTATTGGGCGCCGCGGCCGCTCCAGAGCGTTCCGGAACGCTCTGAGAGCGCTCCGGAACGCTCTGGAGCGATTTATCCAGATCCTAGCCCTGTTTTAGGGGTGGAAGGCGCTGATTCTACAACACCCCCCTCAAAACATGCTCGAGTGGGTAATGCCCCCAAGGTCAGGTGTCTCCGTAGCCTTTGTTGCAGAAGGTGTTTGAAGTCCTGGTGTGTTTTGCTTGTCGCCTGTGGTTGTTGTTTGTTGGGTGACACCATCTTGTCTGGCCGTTGCTGTCCGTCGTTATCGAATGTCCGGTCAATGTGATCCCCGTATCGGGCGTTGCGTACATGGGGGCCGATAAATGGGGTGGGGATGGGGGTGAAGAAAGGCGCATCGGTGTTCTTCTGTATGGGGCCCAAATGGGGCACGATTGGTGCATGTTTCTTCGCCCCACCGTTGATCGCCCCCTAGTAAGCAGCGCACAGAATCCAGAACGCTTGCGCGGACCGATTGCGAATCGCAAGAACCCAGAGGCGGGCGCCATGCCCCCACAGTTGTCATTCCGACGCGTTGCCGCCTCCTGTTCGCCCTCCCCCCCCCCGCTCTGCCTCTCCTTCAATTCTCCCTCCTGGCTCTTCCTTCCTCGTGAAAGTTTTTCATCCATCTTGTTGCTACAGTTCTTAATGCGGCTGCTGTTCCTGCTCGTCCTCCTCCTCCCTCCCCTTCCTCACCGCTGGCGTCTCTCATCCCTCCTCAAGACCTTATCCCTCCTCTCTGGTCCTCTTCCGTCCGCCCTCGCATCATGATCTCCCTCTTGCTCATCCCTCCTGCTCCTTCCTGAGGCGCCTCCCTCCTCCATCTTCCCACCATCCTCGTCCCTCACTCCGCCCTCCCCCGCCTCCTCCCCTCCCTGTTCTTTCCTGCTCCTCATCCCTCCTCCCACCCAGCTCCAAGGCTGTGTCTCTTCTCCATCCCCAGTCTTCGCTCCTGCATCGCCCTTCCCCTCTCCTCCTACCCTCCCTCCTTCCTGCCCACATTTCCCCTCAGAGAGGGGGGTGCGGGCAGGAGGGAGGAGAGATATATATAGCAGAGAGAGAGTGGTATCTTTCTCCCCACGCAGCCTGCTGCGCAGCAGCGCACGGCCAGGATGAACGCACGCGCGCGGAACCGCCTCTCCGCAGGAGCGCCCAGGCCGTGAGGAGCCGTGAAGCCAGAAGGCCAGGAAGCTTACAGGCCCCCCCCACCCCCGCCGAGCCCGAGCCCGATTCGGGGTTCAGGCCCGCGTCCAGTGGCGTCCAGGTCCGAGGCCGAGGCCGAGCCCGCACCAGAGCCCAGGTCAAGGCTCAGGGCTGCTCATGCTGCCCTCCTGCTGCTCCTCGCGCCGCCCCCGCGCGGCCAGGCGCCTGGCGCGGGAGCTGCCGGGCGTCTCCGGCCCCGAGGCCGCGGCGGACTGCCGGGACCGGGGGGGGGGGGCGTCCGCGCGGGGCTTTCGTCCGCCGGCCTCCGGGGGGCGCCCCCGTGCTTGTCCCTTCGCACCGCCAGCCTTTCGATCTTCCCATCGTCCGTCTCCCTCCCCTCCCCTGGGGCCAAAAGGGGAGAGACGGGCAGATGATTGTCCGACGAGGGGCGAGGAGGAGCCACGGAGGGGGCGGGGGACGCAGGGGGGGGGGCGCGAGGAGGACGTGGAGGGGCGGACGAAGGAGGGACCAGAAGCACACATCCTTCTGCTGCTCCCCATCCTGCTGCTGCTTCTCCTCCTCATCCTCCTCGTCCCTGATCTCTCCTCCTTCTCCTCCTCCTCTTCCTAGCTCCTCTCCTCCTCCTCCTCCTCCTCCTCCTCCTCCTCCTCCTCCTCCTCCTTCCTCCTCCTCCTCCGGTGGCAGCGGCCTCGCAGAGGACGGGCTGCGGAGCCGCGGGGCGTCCGCCCGCCTCGCCGGGCGCCTCGAGGCCGCCCTCGAGGCAGGGGGCGCGCCGCCGCGGGTGGCGCTGGTGCTCCCCGCAGCCGCCGCCGTGGCTCCTCGCCGCCGCCGCCGTGGCCGCCGCCGGCGTGGTCGCCGCGGCCGTGGTCGCCGCCGCCAGCTTCGTGGTCGAGGCCGTCGCCGTCGCCGTCGTCGTCGCCTTATCCTCCTCCTCCTCCTCCTCCTCCTCCTCCTCCTCCTCCTCCTCCTCCTCCTCCACTCCTCCTCCTCCTCCTCCTCCTCCTCCTCCTCCTCCTCCCCCCCCTCCTTTTTGCATGCACTATGCTTCACGCGACGCTGAAGAATGATAAAGCAATTCACGGCTCCCGTATAACAGGAAGACTCGGCCGACATTTCTTCCAGCAGCCTTTACAGCGGGCCCCCATTTTGGTGGTGTTTTAGCTAGGTTTAGTGTGCCGAGTGTCACGCCAGCGCGTCAATTTCATCTAACGCAGCAACTTCCTCTTCATGCAAAGGTGTTCAATTGGTCAACACCTACTCACCACACTGTTTGGTCTGTCTACTCAAGTGAGCAAGCAGCCAGAGTATTGTCGAGAAAGCGGCGCGGCACGCCTGACACATTCAATCGCGGCTGGCGTACATGCGCATGATATTCCTCACGCCGTGCTTGACACGCATGTGCGTGAACAAAGCCTGCCTGGTCCCAAAAGCTCTG